GATGTAATTTGGAACGATTTTCCGTCATCCCTTGTCAAATTTGGTTTGGAGACTTTAGGGTATTTTACCTATATGTTCTTATACTTGTTTAAATTCTTGAATGTGTTTGTTATCAAAAAGAAAATTTTTGATTATTCAATAATACACTTTCAAACAAGAAGGAAATACTATTTTTTAATTTGATATCATAACACGATATATTTGCGATCCTGATGTATCCTGTGCAAACAAAATCAACAAATTTGTAACAGGCTGCAGAACAAGCTCAGATAAATGAGAACTTTATAGACATTTGAAATCCTTAGCAGGTTCCAAATCAATTATTGGTAAAGAACTTGTATATAAATTATGGAGTAGGAAGTTACCGCAACAAGTACAGATTCATATAACTTCTTGTAGTTATCAAAGTACTGAAGAAATTATTTCTCTTGCAGATAAATTATTTGATTTGATAAATAAACCTCAATCGTCTAAATCTTTTAATGTCCCTAGCGTAGAAAATAATAATAATATTCTGGAACAGTGCATTAGAAATTTAACTGAGTTAACTACTGTCATTTACCAAAGTCTTAATAAAATTACAGAAGATATTAATGAATTACAAATTAGCTCAAGATCAATAGATAGAGATACAGATAGAGATAGAGACAGAAGTCGTTCTATATTGAGAAATTTTTCTAGATCTAGAAACGATATTAACCAAAATATTTGTTGGTATCATAGAAAATTTAAAAATAATGCTTTTAAATGCATTCAACCTTGTAATTTTAACAAAAATAAGAACGAAGAAAATTCTTTGTTTTAAACTAGATCGTTCCATTATGACGGTGGCGGCGATATTTATTTATGATAAATCCAATAAATTAAATTTTTTAATCGATACTGGTGTTATCGTTTCAGTCATTCCTTCTTCAAAATTCAAATCACATAAAAGAAATTCAGATCTTAATTTGACTGCAGCTAACGGTTCTTCTATTAAAACTTATGGCACAAAACTTTTAAAAATTGATCTAGGTTTAAGACGCGATTTTGAATTCCCCTTCATATTAGCGGATATTTCAACACCAATTGTAAGCGCTAACTTTTTGGAGAAATTTTGTATATTAGTTGATATTAAAAATAGAGAAATTACTGATTCAACAACAAAATTGAAAGTTTCTGGATCATCTGGTTTTTGCGATATATTTTCAATAAGGATACCAATTACTGAAAATAAATTTTCTAAACTTTTAAACGATTTTCCATCAATTACTTGTGAACCAGATTACACTAAACCAGTGCAACACCAAACGGTTCACAGAATTGAAACAAAAGGAGTGTTACCTTTCTCTAAACCACGTAGTCTTGATCCAATTAAATTCGAAATAGCAAAAACAGAATTTGAACTTTTAGTTAAAACAGGTATATGTAGACCTTCACACTCCCACATTGCATCTCCTTTAAATTTAGTTCCTAAAAAAGAACCAAATGATTGGAGACCTTGTGGAGATTACAGAAGACTTAATTGCATTACTATTCCAGATCGTTATCCGTTACCTCACATTCATGATTTGACTATTGATTTAAAAAATAAACAAATTTTTCCAAAATTGATCTTGTTCGTGCGTATCATCAAATACCGATGGTTGAAGAAGATATACATAAAACAGCAATTACTACACCGTTTGGAATGTTTGAGTTCGTACGGATGCCTTTTGGACTACGAATAGTATCTTGACGATATTCTTGTTGCAAGTGATAATGAAGATCAACATATTGAGCATTTAAAATCTGTATTTGAAAAACTTGAAAAATATAGTTTGAATATTAAACCTAGTAAATGCATTTTTGGAGCAAATATATTAGATTTTTTAAGTTATGAAATTTCAAGTGAAGGAATCAGACCAGTAGAACGAGTTGAAGCAATAGTAAATTTTGAAAAACCACTTTCAATAAATAAATTACAAAAATTTACCATAAATATGTTAAAATGTTAGCAGCAGAACTTAGTCCTCTGCACGAAATGTTAACATTAGCAACTAAAAATAAACTTAAACAATTAAATTTGACAGAAAATACAACTAGGGCTTTTGAAAATGTGAAGAAACTTTTTACACAGAAGACTTTACTCACTCATATTGATAAAAATGGTAAATTATCACTTACTGTCGATGCATCGAATGTAGCAGTCGGTGCGGTTTTACAACAAATGAGTAATAACACTTTGGAACCACTTGCATATTTTTCAAGAAAATTATCCCCTACAGAAATTAATTACTCCACATTTGACAGAGAACTTGTAGCGATATACAATTCAATTAAACATTTTAAACATTTTCTAGAAGGTAGAACATTCACTGTTTATACTGATCATAAACCTTTAACACATATTCTAAATTCTAAATCAGACAGATCACCTCGACAAACTCGACACTTAGAGTACATTGCACAATTTACAGACGACATTCAATACATTTCTGGAAAAGAAAACATAGTTGCTGCTACCCTTTCACGTATTCCAGATGTTAACATGATTTTAGCCCAAGACATAAATTTTCAAACATTATTCGAGGAACAACAAAAAAAACTTTATGACATAATATCTGACCAAAATTCCAACAGTAATTTATAAGAAATTAATATTCCAGTACTTAATCTTAATATTTAGTGTGATATTTGTCAACAACCTTTTATGCCATTTGTTCCCAATTCTATGAGAAAAATCATTTTTGATAAAATTCATTCTTTATCACATCCAAGTGTACGTACAACTAGGCGTTTGATTCAATCAAAATATTTTTGGCCTAATATGCGCAAAGAGATAAATAATGGGACTTCTACTTGTATAAGTTGTCAAAAATCAAAAATTTCTAAACATATTAAGACGCCTGTTCAAAAAATTAACATTCCATTTGGACGATTTGAACATATTCATATGGATCTTGTTGGTCCATTACCTGTGTCAAAAGAAAATCATTACATTTTAACTATCATTGATAGACATACACGTTGGCCAGAGGCATATCCACTTAGAGATATTTCAGCTAATTCTATAGCAACAACATTTGTTCAAAATTACGTTCCTCCTTTTGGCATTCCACTTTATATAACAGTAGATCAAGGATCACAGTTTACATCAAAATTGTTCACAGAATTTACTAAATTGTTAGGATCACACAAAATTCATACGTCCCCATATCATCCTCAATCAAATGGAATGATTGAAAGATTTCATAGGACATTAAAGACTGCTATTACTGCTTCAGATGATTCTATCCACTGGTCTGAAATTCTTCCTTGGATATTATTAGGACTACGTACGTCTATTAAAGAAGATTAAAATGCTCTTCTGCCGAATTAGTTTATGGACAAACATTAAGATTACCAGGTGAATTAGTTGCTACGAAAAGTTATAATAATGAAGTTGATAATATAGATGAAACTCTTTCTAAGCTAAGAAAATATTTTTCAAATGTTAGATCAAAGGTTGTACATCACAATAAAGAATACTCTTTTGTTCCTAAAAGTTTGGATACTTGTGAGTACGTTTTTGTTAAAGTTATTCACAAGTCAAATTTGCAATCACCTTATGAAGGACCATTTAAAATTATTTCGAAAAATGACAAAGTATTCAAAATTCAACATGGAAATATGATTAAAACGGTTTCAATAGATTTACTCAAACCTGCAAATATAATTTCTGATACAACAAAATATCTAATTCACTAACAATTCCAAACACAAAAAAGAAAATAACATTTAACATTAATTAATTTATTGTTTTACTGGAGGGGGAGTATATATAATATAAGTATATGTTTTTATACTTTTTTAAATTCTTTATGTTCAATTTATGGTTCAATGAATTTGTTTGTTATCAAAAAAAAATTTTTGATTATTCAATAATACACTCCCAAACAAGAAGCAAATACTATTTTTTAATTTGATATCATAACACGACATAGAGACAAACCGGTTTCGGCGTTGTGCCATCTTCAGTGTCATTTTTCGTTCTGAATAGTTTCTGTTTGTCCGTCACTATTTACAGCCGTCCTAAATCGTCGTTAGTTCTCAGTTAGGTACGTCTCAGCCATGGTGGAATAATAACAAGGTGTTGTCAGTAGCGACGTGTTTGTTGTAATTTTGACAAGATCGGCATGCTTATTTTCAGTGCTGCCGATCTTAATTTTTATACTACTATTTGTTGGGAAATAGTATCTT